TTGCTCTGTTTCAATTTTGAAGTTTTTCTTTGTTTGATTGCTTTGTTTTCGTTTGGCCATCGGGAACTCAACTGAAACTGGAAAAGGAAAACAATTTTTCATGTGGGCCCAACAAAAATTGAATTTGAAAAGGAGAGCAATTTGACGTGGAAAAAACATGCCACGGTAACAAAATTTTGTTCGCTGGATTTACACGTCATTAAAAGTCAAAAAAAGCAGTGATTTTGTGGCATTTTAATGTGCCACCTATCCACTTAACTGATGGAATGATCATTTTGGTATCGAAAATGAAAGTTGAAGGATAATTTTGGTACTTTTTAAAGCTGAGGGACAATTTTGGTACCAAAGTGAAAAGTTGAAGGACCAAAATGGTACTTAAACCAAATCTATTCTATAGCTATCTATATAATAAGGGAAAAACTAATGAAGAAAAAATGTCATATGCCAAATTTTTATACAATTCTTAATTTCTGATTCTTTTGACAAATGACAAAACTTTTCTTATTTAATAACTTTTTTTATAGTATAGTATTTTTTTATGTTGTTTTTTAATGAGATAAGTTACTGTAAAAGTCCAAAATTACAACAACAAAAAAAATCAAGCCTAAAAGGTTAATTAATGCCACTTGACTACAATATTCTTAATACATATTTGTTATTACTTTTTGTTAATATAAATACCTTTTTAAACAAAAAAATTAATAAAAGAGATAGATTATTTGGCAAAATTATATAAAAATATATATACTAAAATAGTTAATTCACAATAATAAAATAAAAATTACTAGATTTTTTCACTGTACTACTTTTCAAATTGAGGATTTATTATTTTTAAATCTAATTCTTTTAGAATTTAGGAAGAATTATTTTATGTTTTAATATTTAAGATTTAATATGTAAAATTAGAAATTTAAACTTTAGAGTTTTAGAATTTAGCATTTAGTTTTATAATTTTAGAATTTTGGATTTTAAAATTTTAAAATTCAATAATAAAAATTTAAAGGTCAAAGTTTAATTTATGATTTAGACTTTTATGATTTAAATTTGGATTGGGATTTAATATTTAATTTTTTTGATCGATTTAAAACCATAATATTTTTAGGTGGTATATTAATTTGCCTCTCTTTTTCAATTTTCTTTTCTTAAATTTTATTTTCTTTAATTTCCTGAAAGGTATTTAATTTTTAAATAGTGTAATTATTACATTATTTTTTTATTAATTGGTATTAAAAAATATAAAATTATCATTAATTTTATTACTAGTAATATGTAAATAATTTTAATTATATAATTATTAAAATAAAAATTAACTTTTATTTTTGAAAATATTAATT